CATAAATATTGTAATAAATAACTTAAAACTACTTAAAAGAAGTTTTTCAATGTATATCAGTTTAGTGATCATAAAAATAATCTTACAAGCCATAGAATGCTAACAAAATTTGACCTGTATGCATCTTACAGATATTTTATTCTGGACATCATTTAAAACCCTTAATATAAATAATGTAAAAAGTAAAGTGTAACATTATTCAGGCCTGTAATTTTCAACAAAGCATAATCATTAATGAAGCTATTTCCATTTTTGCATTAAACAGATAACAAAAAATAATTTCCTACCTTAAAAAGCAATTTAATGGCTACAATATTATCATTTATAATTTTCTAATCCTATTTATGACTAGAAAATTAAAAAGTTAACATTATAATGAAATTAAATTTAGCTTAAACAACACCACTTTACCCGAAAACTGGAACTGTACATGTAGAGAATCACCTAAATGCAAAATTTCCAGCAAAGAAACACCCAAATTCAATATTCAAATGCTTTTGGCCACTACTTTATAACCCCTCTTCAGTTGTTCGAATATTGAATTTGGGTGTTTCTTTGCTGAGAATTTTGCATTTAGGTGTGATTCTCTATATAAATTTGGCTTATTTTTTGCTATTATAATATGCATTATATCAAATTAGTTATCACTTCACGCCGACTTTATAATTATTGTAAAATCACTTACGCGTTGTGGCATTCAGTTTTTTTCTGTTGTTTGGTCACATTAATCAATACTTCATAATTAAATCATCATCCACGATGGAAGCATTTTTTGAGAATATTTTAAATACTTTGGAGGTGAGTAAAAATTCTTTTGTGTTCTCTATTTACCCAATATACTATGTATAGTTTTATAACATGATTTACAAATTTTACTGTATACAATTAAAGATGAAGTAGCTGAGATGGTAAGTGTTGGAACAGTGCATGTGTCTAACTGTCTAACTGAGCAGCTGAGCAGCTGAGCAGCAGTAGTAGCTTAGGATAGACAGATTAGAGTTGACAGTTGTTAAACTATCATGTATAGTGAGTGAGACAATCTTATAATTGCTGATTGACTCACACAAGGAAAGGAAGGTTAACTGATTTTTATATTTCTTATTCTTTTGTATGGAACTGTTACATGGTTGATGATCAGTGGTGTTCTTTCTTGAAGCTTCATAATATATAGTTCATAGTTCATACTTTGTCTATAAAGATGGGGCAAAGTTCTTTATAGAAATTTGATTTATTTGATTTCCTTCAGGGGAGAGGTACAATAACTTTTGTTATCAACCTCTAAAGAAATGTCAAAACAACTTTAGTGTTTTTAACAAATGTGTTTTTAACATTGGTTCTAGTAATTATGTGGATGTGCAATGTGATTTTTACTTTTAAAGGATTGATTTTTTTTTTATTTTTAAATTACATATCAATTAATAATTACTAAACAGAAACATTTTAATTACTTGTTTTATTCGAATAGTGACCATGGCTACTATTTTTAACTACATACTTTCTATGTGGTTACTACTGAAGAGAAGTTAGTATTTCCTTTGCACACATCCATTTATGTTCATTATTAATAAAACATTAAAATGTTTATTTATGAAAATTTTGATGTTTAAAACAAATTATACTTGAAATGACAACTGCTATCTTTTTTATAATGAATATTAATTTCTGAATTCTAGTAATAAGGAAATTGTTAAAAAAGTATTCTTACTATATTGTACATTTAAGATACAGTACAGTAATACCCCGAACTTACGCGATAGGTGGAACCGAATGATAACCGTGTAAGTCGAATTCGCGTAAGTTGGGGTATAATTTCACAATTTGTGTAAAATCCAAGTCGGATGTATGTAAGCTAATAAATGTTCTGGTTAATCTTATCTCGTCTTTTAATTCGTTTATGGTTACAAAAAATCACCACATAGTCCCCGTAGATATAACAAACACAGAAATAAATAATACAAAATAAATTGTAGCTATGTGTCAATTCTGCGCGACATGCCTGAACATGTAAGCTGAACAACAGTGTGGGGGGAATGAGTAATCAAGAGTTGCGTGGCACTCAAACAAAAGACGAATCAACAAGATTTAAAAATCGCGTAACTCCAGGTTCGCGTAAGTCGGGGTAGCATAAGTCGAGGTATTACTCTATTTCATTTTCTATTCAGTAATGTTTTCAGCCATTTTTTATGACTTTTTTCAGGAAACAGACTTTTTGTGCTGCTTATAAAAGTCATTCATCGAGTTTATCATTTTACATAACAGTATTTAATTAATTTCAAATTGTTTTCCTAAGCTTTCGGGAGGTCAGTTATTATTTCAAGCTTTACAGACAAGATGTGGTCATTATTCGAATAAAAATGGCATGTTATAAAATTGAACAAATCAAATCTATTATTATAAAANTTTGTATTGATAAACCCTAGTTTATCGAATTTGACATTCATTAAATATTTTCCTACTATTGATACATGTCGTTTGTCTCGTGTAAAAATCCTCGTGTAACCGTAGCCTTTTACCCTACTCTTTGTCCAGAGTAACCTCGGTGCTCCTAGGATACTACAATACCAATATAGAGCCATTGATTACACAAAATATTGTCAGCTTGACTTTTTGGCAGAATCTTACGTCTTAAATTTTTTGTTGATGTGCTTCCACTGCAATGATTGTCTTTTACTCCAGGTTGATACTGGTGCATCCAGGACTCATCTCCTGTCATAATTCAATGGAGTGAAGTGTCTCCTTCATGAGCATAATAATTCAAGTGCTAAGCAAGAAACAAGAAAATTATCATCCAGATGTTAAACAATGTACAAGTATCGCTATAAACTACTAGCGCTTTCGACAAAACTATTTTCGTCTTCTTCAGGCAGATGAAATGGTTAATATCCTTTTATCGAATAACAATTTTGAACTACTCTAACAGCAAAACAGCTTTGGAATATAACTAAAAATGGAACTAAGTATAGAGAACTTGAATAATAATTGCGTGGTGCCAATGTGCATGTGCAAAAAAATTTTTTTTGTTTTACATGAATGTGGAGCTAGCGATGATATCTTAATTTGTTATATAAATTGATACTTGTACGTTGTTTAATGCCTGGATGATAATTTTCTCATTTCTTGCTTATCTATTGATCGGCATTAGGTCCAATATCTTTCACTTTTAACTCAAGTGCTTCTGACAAATTGCCTGCTGTGCATGCTTATGGTCAATGGAGAACTGGCTTGCAACCCATCTGCTATATACTTTTTTTATACCTGAGGTCATCATGCAGTATTATATGCAGAGCCATGACTCATGTTGAATTCTACAGAAATTTTATCAATAGTAACTTATCTGTAGTCAAGGATTTGCTACCTCAGTTGATCTATCACTCTTGTGTTCATCACCGATATTTTGTCTTCTGTTTTTAAATCTTTCACCCATTCATATTCTTTCCCCTGACTCAAACAACTGTCTTCATACTGAACCTTCATTCCCCTGTACATTTCAGGTTTTACTGCCTCTGACCATAAAAAACAAATGACACTTCATTGCTCTTCCACTGTGCAATTTGACAGTGGAACATCCATGTTGTATGAGCTATTGTCCAGGCACATACTGCTCAATGATCACAACCCCTATATGGTATAATGCTAAGGAGTCATTTTGTGTCCTGCTATAAGATTTTTCACAGTGCATGCATCTCCATCAATTTTAGATTAAAATTCCTGTTATTTAATGACTTTCCTTCATACATGCTTTCCTCCACAGTCATAATTTATTACTGGCAATATTTGTAATGTATATATTTGATTATTGCTTACTTTTATAAAAATACCAAAAAAAACCAAAAATAAAAAAAATAATTTTTATGGTTTTGTGATGAACATGTTGTATGCATTTAAATTTATGGAATGTTGTTAGATCAAATCTCTAAAGAACATTTGTTTTTCAGAATATCTTCAGATTTGGTACCTTTTTGTATGCTTCATGCTTTTGTTTTCCATTAAATAACTTGCTGGTCATATACAGTCAACCTCCCTATAACACGCTAGATACGTTCTGGTTTTTATGAATCCATTTTCTATGATTTCCAGCCAATCACAGCCCAGCACGTATGCAGTTTACAGACTATGGCTGTTTGAAAGGTTTCTTCCATAAAATTAATCGATTCTAGACTAATTCGACTCAACATTTCCAAAATATGTATAATTTTTTGGGAATAATCCATATAAACTATGCTATAAACAAAAAATTGTAGGATTACTTACCGAGTGCACACCATTCGACCGTGCCATTGCTTAAGCTTGTTTTCATCGTGGAACTTGTCATCAAATGGCGCTCGCGTGCTTCCTGATAAATTATTTTTTTGTGAAAAATTTGCTGAACTTTGGAGACATCATTAATATAAATATAATTTTTATGGACGTTAAATAATAAATGGTTTTTAGTATGCTGCTCGTTTAAACTCAACGGTTTGTACAATATCCTCTATTGGTCTAGATTTGACCAATCCTGTCGTGACACGAGTCGGCGATGACGTTTTACCAAATTATATGAGTTTTTTTTAGCATGTTTGTACAAATACTGTCGCAATTTTTTCGCCGTGATATAGGAATCTGAACTATAGGAACCCGTGTTATAGGGGAGTCAACTGTATAGTGTGTTTATTTTGTCATTTTATCTAACAATTTGAGTTAATTACACTTGGTAATTTATTGTTTGGTTTAAAATGTAGCCAGTATTGTATTTTTCTTTTACTCTTTCTGCCCTATGGGCAGTAAGAGGACTTTTTAATTAAGCCCATCATGGCCCACAAAAACAAATGGATGGAACCCAACATAATTCAGGACAGATCACTCTCTGAAAAATTCCTGGGGTTTTTCACTCCTCCCAGATTTGTTCCTCAGTCTTCCATAGTGGAAGCTGACACCTTAATCACTCAGCTATCTGGCCATCTGTACATATTACTACATAATTTATTAAGTAAAGTTTATTGTATAAAGAATTGTTATTATACCTGCAAATATCTGGAATAAATAAATCCAATTTTTCATATCTCGATTTCCTGAAAGGGGGCCACATTTCTCCCACTATTTAAAATATAAAATTCATAAAAATTACTGATTACATTTCAATAATAAGAAATAATTATATATTCTGAAGTTATATTTTCTTATTATTATTACACTTTGCAAGAGCTATATTAAGTTTAATAAATTTCAATAATAATATCAAATTATCATAATCTAATATTTAAAATAATTAATTGCAAACCAATTTATATAAAGTAATTTTGAAATATGAAAAAGTATTTAATGGTTTTTCTGTGTTTTAGAATTACTCTAAGGTTGACTGTATTATTTTAAAAGTGAATTTTGCGACTCGTGCATTGTATATGCAAGTGTAGAACAGTATTTAATTTTTTTACTTTTATGAAAATAAGAACTGACTACAATTTATCTATATTCTGATATGCAAATTTAGCATTCTATATTAAATTCTTTCTATAATAATGATCTCAATTTCTGTGAATGAATATTTTTATTATAATAATAATAGTTGGAGAAAATTAATTTTAACAATTTTAGCAATTAACATATTTTATTTGATTTTTCATATTTTAAAAAGACATACAATTGTTTTCTTATAACATACAATGTACTGAAAATTTAGTAATATGTAACTTACTTGATCCATCGATTTGATTGCAAGGTGTCTGCCATATTGTAACATTACTGAAATGTGAAAAAGACAAATTATTTTTTTTTCAATACGATTATAATTTCGAAAAATATTAAAAATCAATTTTCCGTTTGATTCACAAGGCTTTTTAGGATTATCCTAAAGCACAAACCTTTCAAAATGTTGCTAATTTGAACTAGACATTAGAGTTGGATTTATGGACAAGAAATTATATATGAAAAGTCACTTATATATTACATTACTTGTTAAAGATAATTCATAATACAGGAATCATCGAAAAACTACATAATGCTATATTTTTACTTTTCAACTATCATTCCACCTCCTGTAATACTACACAATTGGCTCCATTGGGAATGTGTAGCAGAATCAGTATGCTGTATTACCACACAATTTGTGATCACATTTCTAATTTATATTTTGCTCTTATGTTTGAAAAATTTACAATTTACACATGGTTTTTTTTTTGAAAGAATTAATCTATTTTAGTGTAAACATCACAGAGAGACTAAGGCACCATAAACTATGAATATACTCATGCAATGCTAGAGACATTTATCTAAATACAAAAGATCCTTTCTGCAATTGAATAAATGTTTAAGTGAATATCCTATATATTTTTCCTATAGTAGAAAACTATGATGGTAGTTCCTGTTTTGATAGGAATTTATCTGTGTAGGATTTTTTAATTGCATTTTCACCTATTTTGAACCAATGTTCTAGAATTTGGTGGTCATGTTGTGGGTTGAACTTGACAGCTAGTTAAACTAGCTGAAAATATTTACTTACCTAAAATTGAATGCTAGATGATAAAGGTTTTATGATTTTAATACAGTAGTGTCGTTTATCTGAAAGTCGGTTATCTGAAAGAATTCCAGTTGGCAAATTTAAATTTTTGCTAGTGCTGTGGCGCTGCAATCTTTGGCTATGTCTTGGGCTGCTCCAATATTTTTTATGTTTGTGTATGTGTTTTAGCTGGCAGCACTAGCACTTTTGTATGCTGTTTTCTGAGCACTGTGTGTCATGCCGAATCGAACGTTTTTGATACTAGATTAACTCCTAAAGTATTTTTTTTGTTGTTTTTATTTTCAATATATTTATTTTGTTTGTAAAAACTAAAAAAATAATTTTTAACGATAAAATAGCCACGATTATTATTTTAAAAAGTTTACGTTAGGCTTAACATCGATGAAAATTCAATGCGAAGTGACATGCAACGGAGAAAAATTTCAACATGTGATAGGTTAATATATTTTTTTGTACACAATCGGTTATCCGAAAAATAAGTTATCCGAACAACCCTAGTCCCCAACTGATTCGGATAAACGACGCTCTACTGTCTTTTATTTCTTAATCCAACAGTAATTATGGTAATGAATTAATGAATATGTGCAACTACTGAAAAATGCAATGCTTAACAGTAAAACACTCCACATTAACCAGCATTAAACTGTTTAATTCATGTTTTAATGTATTTGTGGAGTGTTTTACTATGAATATTGGCATGCTAAAATATGTTAAATAACTATTAAAAATAAAATTGATTTAAGAATATATAAATATAAAACAATGAGCTTACCTGTCACCATTCCAATTATCTACAGATCCATAATTTTGAATTCCTTTTTCACCAGTAAAGATATTAAAAGTAAAATTTCCATCAGATTCATTTTTCTAAAGACATTTTAAAATATTAATAATTTGCTTTGAGTTTTAAGTTATTAAATAGAATATTTTGATATATAATATAAAAAAATCCTACTATTAAAAAGATTTATTTAAACTATTTAAGAAAAGGTTCTACAAATCAGGCAAATACATTAAGTTTTGCATCTGCTGACTCTATAGACACAGTTATAAAGATTACTATATGTTATTTTGATTAATATCTGTTTCTATTTTTTTAATTAATCTGTCATTTAGTATTTCAATAATTTACTTAATCTATATTCTTGCATGTTATATTGAAGGGATTTGATATTTCATATTAGCTATGTTGTCTATCCAATAATTTTATAAACATTTTGCAAAACTTTGCTTGAAGATGCTTTGTTCAAAACATTTGAACAAAGCATCTTCCTTAAATGTGAGTTTTGTTTCTTTTCTTTTCTCTGTGTGGGCACTGAGAGGTTCTTTCTCTATAATCATCATTAGTTTGACCAGATTCACAATAGGGCAGCTGGATATTGAAGGATGAGTTCCAACATATCCTGGACAGACCCATCTGTGAAAAATTCCTGGGAGCTTTTACCTGATCAGATTTGATTCCAGGTTCCCAGAGAGATAGGCTTTCACTTTAACCCATCGGCTATGTAGCTGAGGGGATTATGTGTTTAGAGAACTTTTAATCCTCAGATTCATCACTTGAAAAATTACATTTGAAGATAAAGTTTAAAACCTTAAAAAAAATGTTTATATTATATTAGTAAGTATGGTTACTTGTTTTTGAATCATTATATATCTTATGTAATCAGAGTATTTAGTTTTGTTTCATTTTTTTACTTTACTTTTATCAATAACTTTATTAGTTCTGGAATTACCAATGAAACAGAAATGTAGCAATGTTAATAAGTCATTGACATTTTGCTATATATAGTTACAGATAAATGTTGTTAGGAAAAATATACTATTGTAAAAGTAATCAACATTATTCCATTTCATTAATATATTTACAAATGGTAATATGTATAAATATGAAATATTTGTATATATAAAATGTCATACCAGAGGAAGTTTAATTTATTTTTTTCATGGTGTGATTTCAAGTTTACAAAATTGTTACACTTGAGAGCTGTAGCTTTTTGAATATGATAATAATATAAGTGCTTTATAATAGTTAAAATGCTATATTCAGTTCTGTTTTAATCAAATTATTATTATTTTTTTCAGTTGAAATGATTTTTCATCTGTTCTAGTGCAAAAATAGAAACATTTTCATTAACAACTATATACAAATTAAAAACTTATTATCTCAGCTTGATATTTGTTATACAGGCTACAAGCATCCACAACATTGGTAATCCCATTTCTAAAAATCAGATGTTCTATAATAAAATATTAACTAGGAGCTATTTTCTATAATTTTAAATAGGAAAAATTACGTAAACCAACATCTATAAACCTGATGTACTGTACATACATAATATGCCAACAACTACTCAATTATATTGGGCTATTATATTGCGATTATTTTAAAATTAATTACTAAATAATCTGTCAGTAGAGAGGGGCATTAAAAGAAAAGTTACCATCAATAAGACAAAATGCTAATAATTTTTAAGGAGCCAGTTTATTATTTGATAAAACAATTTTTTGAGATTACTCTATCTCATTGTCAGATCCAAACTTAATAAAATTAAAAATCAAATGTAAAAACAAAGACCTACTAGCAGTTAAATAACAAAAACTTTAAAGAGATAACTTTTAAATTTTTTTCTTATTAAACTGGTACCTATCTATGAAAACATTAAATGAGATGTTGTGCAGGATATGCCTGTATTAGTATTTAAGAACTTGTCAGATACTTGCCTAATAAAAATAGCTCATTTGGCAGTTAATTTTGCATTGAGTTTTAATATCAGCAATATTAACAAACTATTGTATGCTACTATTTGTCAGTGACATATTTCTACAGTATTATTCTGAAGAAGATTAGTAAATATGTGTATAGCAACAATAAAGATATTAATACTTAAGGCAAATTTGTGAAAACAAACAATGAATAATATAAGTATATGGCGGATTTGGCCCATAAGCCACAAATAAACAATTTTCTCAGTCATTTTCAAACAATATACAATAAATAAAATTAACTTGAATTTTTATTTCGTTTATCTTATTAATAATAAAATAATATATGTATGCATATATTAAGGTGACCAGATGTCCCACTTTTGGTGGACAGTGCCAATTTTCAACAATTTGTCCTGCATCTGTGGACATCTGATAAATCACAATTTTAAGTGTTGAGACTTTGAAAGCCATATTATGTTTGAAATATAATTTTACAAGTAAAAATAATAAGTTTGATATGGCCAACAATTATTTAATATTGATATAATAAATATAAGTACAACTTTTTACAAAGAAAAAGTTTTTGTTTCAGTCATTTCTTTTGTTGTTCACACCATCAGCAGTCCATAAAAATCACAAATACTCATGGAGACGACCTTCCTTTTTAGGCTACTGCCTTCTAGTTAAAATACAAAAATGATAAAAGCATCATCTGGTGTTCTTGCCACAATCACATAATACATTTTAAGTAAAAATAATAAGTTTGACATGGCCAATGAAGAAGGTCGTCTTCGTGAGTATTTGTGATTTTTATGAACTTCTGATGGTGTGAACAACGAAAGAAATGACTGAAACAAAAAATTTTTTTCTTTGTAAAAAGTTGTACTTATATTTATTATATCAATAATTTTACAAATTCTTGCGAAAAATTTCATGACATTTTAAACGACAGCAATCTATTAAAAAAAAATTCACTCAACTGAGAAATATGTGAAAGAATAAAGAGTTTTTAAAGATTTATAATAGTATATATATTTATGATATATTGTAAATTGTACATATGTTAAAATTTTAAAAAATATAATACAATACAATTTTTGCATTCATTGACAATAAAATTTTGTTGCTCTAGAACAATTCTTTTCAACAAGACAACCACTCTCCCCTGTCAATTTTGTCCCGCTTCACCAATGTTAAAATCTGGTCACCTTAGTATATATGTTTGTATGAGCATAAATATTGTAATAAATAACTTAAAACTACTTAAAAGAAGTTTTTCAATGTATATCAGTTTAGTGATCATAAAAATAATCTTACAAGCCATAGAATGCTAACAAAATTTGACCTGTATGCATCTTACAGATATTTTATTCTGGACATCATTTAAAACCCTTAATATAAATAATGTAAAAAGTAAAGTGTAACATTATTCAGGCCTGTAATTTTCAACAAAGCATAATCATTAATGAAGCTATTTCCATTTTTGCATTAAACAGATAACAAAAAATAATTTCCTACCTTAAAAAGCAATTTAATGGCTACAATATTATCATTTATAATTTTCTAATCCTATTTATGACTAGAAAATTAAAAAGTTAACATTATAATGAAATTAAATTTAGCTTAAACAACACCACTTTACCCGAAAACTGGAACTGTACATGTAGAGAATCACCTAAATGCAAAATTTCCAGCAAAGAAACACCCAAATTCAATATTCAAATGCTTTTGGCCACTACTTTATAACCCCTCTTCAGTTGTTCGAATATTGAATTTGGGTGTTTCTTTGCTGAGAATTTTGCATTTAGGTGTGATTCTCTATATAAATTTGGCTTATTTTTTGCTATTATAATATGCATTATATCAAATTAGTTATCACTTCACGCCGACTTTATAATTATTGTAAAATCACTTACGCGTTGTGGCATTCAGTTTTTTTCTGTTGTTTGGTCACATTAATCAATACTTCATAATTAAATCATCATCCACGATGGAAGCATTTTTTGAGAATATTTTAAATACTTTGGAGGTGAGTAAAAATTCTTTTGTGTTCTCTATTTACCCAATATACTATGTATAGTTTTATAACATGATTTACAAATTTTACTGTATACAATTAAAGATGAAGTAGCTGAGATGGTAAGTGTTGGAACAGTGCATGTGTCTAACTGTCTAACTGAGCAGCTGAGCAGCTGAGCAGCAGTAGTAGCTTAGGATAGACAGATTAGAGTTGACAGTTGTTAAACTATCATGTATAGTGAGTGAGACAATCTTATAATTGCTGATTGACTCACACAAGGAAAGGAAGGTTAACTGATTTTTATATTTCTTATTCTTTTGTATGGAACTGTTACATGGTTGATGATCAGTGGTGTTCTTTCTTGAAGCTTCATAATATATAGTTCATAGTTCATACTTTGTCTATAAAGATGGGGCAAAGTTCTTTATAGAAATTTGATTTATTTGATTTCCTTCAGGGGAGAGGTACAATAACTTTTGTTATCAACCTCTAAAGAAATGTCAAAACAACTTTAGTGTTTTTAACAAATGTGTTTTTAACATTGGTTCTAGTAATTATGTGGATGTGCAATGTGATTTTTACTTTTAAAGGATTGATTTTTTTTTTATTTTTAAATTACATATCAATTAATAATTACTAAACAGAAACATTTTAATTACTTGTTTTATTCGAATAGTGACCATGGCTACTATTTTTAACTACATACTTTCTATGTGGTTACTACTGAAGAGAAGTTAGTATTTCCTTTGCACACATCCATTTATGTTCATTATTAATAAAACATTAAAATGTTTATTTATGAAAATTTTGATGTTTAAAACAAATTATACTTGAAATGACAACTGCTATCTTTTTTATAATGAATATTAATTTCTGAATTCTAGTAATAAGGAAATTGTTAAAAAAGTATTCTTACTATATTGTACATTTAAGATACAGTACAGTAATACCCCGAACTTACGCGATAGGTGGAACCGAATGATAACCGTGTAAGTCGAATTCGCGTAAGTTGGGGTATAATTTCACAATTTGTGTAAAATCCAAGTCGGATGTATGTAAGCTAATAAATGTTCTGGTTAATCTTATCTCGTCTTTTAATTCGTTTATGGTTACAAAAAATCACCACATAGTCCCCGTAGATATAACAAACACAGAAATAAATAATACAAAATAAATTGTAGCTATGTGTCAATTCTGCGCGACATGCCTGAACATGTAAGCTGAACAACAGTGTGGGGGGAATGAGTAATCAAGAGTTGCGTGGCACTCAAACAAAAGACGAATCAACAAGATTTAAAAATCGCGTAACTCCAGGTTCGCGTAAGTCGGGGTAGCATAAGTCGAGGTATTACTCTATTTCATTTTCTATTCAGTAATGTTTTCAGCCATTTTTTATGACTTTTTTCAGGAAACAGACTTTTTGTGCTGCTTATAAAAGTCATTCATCGAGTTTATCATTTTACATAACAGTATTTAATTAATTTCAAATTGTTTTCCTAAGCTTTCGGGAGGTCAGTTATTATTTCAAGCTTTACAGACAAGATGTGGTCATTATTCGAATAAAAATGGCATGTTATAAAATTGAACAAATCAAATCTATTATTATAAAAATTTTAATTTTATTACATAATACAGAATTTTCTAAAAAAAAACTTGTAATCAATCATAAATGCATGAAATAATTTTTGAAAAAAAGTTATTTTCTGCACTTTAAATATTATTTATTATTCAAAACTGTGTAAGTAGTTCATGAATATGTGAAAAGTTGTTTCATGAACATGCTGCTTTTTATTTTAATAGTATAAACTTAAATTTCATTAGATTCTTCCTTCATAATAATTAATATATCATTATATGCATCTAGAGAATTTTATGTATTAAATATATATATATATAAATCTTACCTTGTAAAACCACCCAAATTTTGTAAAAGGCACTAGTTGTGGAAACATTTCTTTCATAACAGCAAGAATTGTGTCGTTATAGCCATCAAATAATAATTCACGTGGCGTTTTTGAAATAAATACTGTACTATTTATATGATGAAAGAATTCACTCATAAAAGTGTTAATGACTGTGTTGTTCATTTTATGAGCTCCGACAGCAGCAGTCTAAATAAAAGTTAAAATATTATCTCTTACTTTATGACTAATTTATGATAAGTCTTTGCCAGCAAAGCCATATTACTACTACTGTAAAATGCAATGTTGAATAGCAAAAAACATTCCAAAAAATCTTAAAAATTGCATTAACCACTTTAATTTCTAAGAATTTTGGCATTGTATCAATCTTATTCATGAGAAAATGCTTATAAATTGAATGACAGTTACATTTGAATAGAAAAAAGATTTTAAATATTTCAGAGTGAATACTTTTTAATGCTAATACCAGACCTTGTAAGTTATATGAAAATAAAATATAAGTTTACAAATCGAATGCAACCATCATTCAATTAGAAAACTTTGCCCGAGGAAGGTCGGTAAAATACGGCCAAAAGCATTAAAAATTAAAGTGGTTAATGCAATTTTTAAAGTTTTTTGGGGTCTTTCTTACTTCATATTATTACTTAAGAATTTAATTTTAATTAAGTGAAAAAATTAAATTTTAAAATTTTAATACATAATTAAATAAATTTCATCAAAATATTAACATTTTTAAAATTAGAATATCATTATATTAAGAAAAATGTTATTGTTATTTGAAGGGTTAAGATCTAAAGTGAATCAAGTCCAAATTAAAATTTATTTTATTACATGTGTTGTATTTAAGTTATTATGTAATTTTTCTGNGCATTTATGCTAATGTTCTTGATACGTTTCGTTATATAAAATAAAGTATAAGTTTCGAAATTTCTAGATTGCTTTATATCCAAAAATATTACCTTAAATTTATTATTATTATATATAAATATATCAATTTTAATTCATTAATATCAATAAGAAAATAAGCTATATGCAATATGACTTATTATAGAGTCTTTAAGGTTATTTTTAAACTTATTTTTTCACTGTTAATCTATTTTATTATAGATTTTTGTCTAGTTTAAAGAATAAAAAGATTTAAAATTTCCCTTCATGAAGATAAATTTTTTGCTCAAGATATAAAAGTATTTTCAAAACTTTATAATTATTAAAATCGTTTATTAATTAAAATTAAAATTATTTTTATATTTTATACACTTATAATTAAAATATAATAATTTGTTAACTTTCTAATTATTTAAAATTGTGTAAATATTTATTAATCTGGATTATATTAACGTTGTTAACAAATTTGAAACGATACAATTAGAAGCTAATTTCTTTGTCTACTTTCTATAATTTCATCGCATATTAATGCTTAAATTATTTATTTATTTATTAAATTGTAACTTAATACAATATTTTAAATTGGTTTCTAAACATTTTCACAAAATATTATTTTTCAAATAAAAATCTTCATTACTTTATACAAATATTTTCATGCAAACACGAATAAGTAGAGCATGATTTGTAACTATACGAGTAGCTCTTTCCGTAAAGAAAGCTCAGATTATATATGTTTCTCTTGGAAAACAGAATCCATTTAACAATATGCACGCGTGCAATGCGCACTAATGAGCACGTTTTCTCCATACTTAAACGTCATACGACCACCGCCCTCTCTAACGCACCTGTATTGAATAGTAGTATCGGTGTAGCAGCGGTTTGGCGTCAAGCTTTTAGTTTCAGTTCTTCTCTTATCCGGCAATATTTTACCAAGAAAACATTCAGCTTGCCACATATCGGTCCATTTGCAACTCTGATATCCCTCCTTTACATTCGACTAGGAATGACATTCTCCATCGTGTACTCGCAATGATGTTTGCAAGCGATTGATGTTTATGCATGATTTTACGGCATTTTATTTTTTATGTGAAGCTTTGTTTTAGAGATGCGCATGCACCAATGTTTTGTTTTGAAATGTTATTCTGTATATTTTTTTATACATTATTGTTATGTTATCTTCTTCTTTTTATTCTGTTGTCAATTTTTAAATTTGAATATATGTATTCCATTTTGTGGAACGCTGATGTTCCAATTCTCCATTTCAACCTGAGGATGGCCTATAGAATAGGTTGAAAATGTTAGTTTTCAATAAAACTATCTCAGCAACAAAAAAGGGGTGTTGTAATTGTTTAAATGATAACTTTTAACTAACTTTTGGCTATCCTGTGAAATATTAATATTATAATTTGTGTAACTTAACATAATAAAAAATGCTTCTTATAGCTTAAAATTTATAATATTGGTGGTTAAATAGTAAAACCATTTCAAATAAAAAGTGTTTGTTATATATTAAATAAGTCTTTACATAGAATTATTAGAATAGATAGGAAACTGATTAGTACACTTGTAAAGAAAACTGTGAAGGATGTAAAAATTATAATATATTTCAACTATTTTTCTTCAAAATTATCAAAAGTTGATAAATACTAAAATGGATTTAAAATACTATTGAGAAAATAGACATGGTTCAAAATTCATTTTAAATTCAACATATTCTCATATGGGAATAAAGTACAGTCGACCCCCCTATAATTACGGTCCCTATAATTACGATTCCTATAAAGATACGAAAAAATATACGTATTTTGGAAATGTTGAGTCGGATTAGTGTAGTATTTTTCCACGCGTTTTTTCTCATTACAGTTTCAGAAAAACATTTTGTAAACAGTTGTCTAATAAAGAAACGTCTTTTTTTATTGTTACATAATACATTTTTTAGGTGAATTTTTTTTGCGGTAGTTTTTGGCTACTTTTTGGCAATACCCTGAAAAAAATTTAACGGATATAGCCATCCATCACTGCCACATGATTGCCCTGGACGAATACATCTGTCCTTTACTGCTGAGTGGTTAAAAGAAGTCTTTTCTGTGACGTCAAAGTAAACACATGGTTTCTATTCTAATGTGAGAGTTAAAGATGTACGAGACAAATTGTTCCAACGAATGTCAATTAAACAATAATTTATTACAACAGGGATTGACAGGTATTACAGAGATGCCCGTCAGAGACAAATACACAGATATGCAACAGGTCTCTACTCTCGTCCGGAATCTTACAATTTTTAATTATCACGGTATAGGTTCTAATCACTAACTTATAATTAACTTATATCTAACTTAATCTAACACTATACTAATAAGAGGAAAAGGAAGGAAGGAAAGAAAAGGTCTACCGGTAGTTAGCACAGGAGGTCCTGATGGTGGTTTCCGATAATTGCGGGGGTTTTCTCGGCCGACTTTGGTATATTAAACATTCCTAGTATGAAATTTGGCACTTAGTTTCCGTAGACTACTATCTCTCATCAATCAAGTCACTAGTCCTCTTCTCTTCTCTTTGGACTACGCTAAACTTCGCACATTGGGCAGGTTCTTTGTCTTAAGCCTGACTTAATGTCCCGACGATATTTTCTTAACCCTTTCTCCTCGTCGTCCAGGCAAAAAGTGTCCTTCTCACCCCTTTGTTCACCTTGTGTACCCCACGGGCAGGGCCGCGCCCTGTTCACGTCGGTAAGCCACCAATCAGGACCCACGAAATTCCCGCTCCTGATCGGGTGACCGGAAATGGTCATTAGTAGAAAGAAGAAGGAAGGAAAAGAACAAAGAATCTTAAATCTAAATACTATAACTATGTATATACAAAATGGCGGACAGCCACATATGCCCTCATCAGGGGAGCTCAAACTCCACAGTGGAGTTTGTGATAGTCCACTCTCCTCCCTCTGAGGTTGTATC